ATTGAGACTCGTTCTGTCATAAGCAGTATCCACTCACTCCTGATAAATCACTCGCAGTTGGATGCCGGCTTGCTGCTAACAGGACTTCCAAGCCAAGGCCTGGCAGCAGAGGCCCCGCTCGCTCGCTTCTCGTGTGTGCTGGGTAATTTCATCAGCTTCTGGCCCTTTTCGCCTGTGTCCCCTCCGTGCTGCGCATGGAGAAAGCTGCTGGGTCATCCCAAGCCCACGTTGCCTCTTGCTCGGCTCCAGGTGTCCCATGGGGCTTGTGCTGCCTCTGCAGAAGGAGCCACTGCGGGAGATTTTATTTTGCAACAGAGCAGGGGCACAACACGGGCACCGTCAACCCCAAGTTACCACCGACTGGATGACTCAAGGCCCCAGGTTTCAGGGAAAGCTGGACCAGAGGGTCAGCAGGATTTCTTCTGAAGGGGGAGGGGGGCATAAAAAAGTTAACTTTTTGACAAGTTTATGGATTTTTGGCACTGAAATTACACTTTTTCAGGTGGAGATATCTTCACACACGGAAGGGATTTGGCAGAACAACCCCGCACCCCTCGTCGCTCGTGCGGACTGAGGGTGGCTGCGTGCGCCTGCGGCTCCGCAGCTCCCCGCGATGGGAACTTTGACAAAAGCCGTTTGCTAATGCTGCATCACTGCTCTGGTCTCCCGCTGCAATATCATCTCCTGCCATTAAATGCTGCAAACCCTGGAAGAAGTTCAAAAGCAGAGGCAGAGACACGCTTGCAAAATACCCTTTCAGCGCCGTTTGCTGACCCGTGGCGAGCTCCTCTCGAGCAAAGCCCTGCCCCAGGTCCCAGCAAGGCTGGCGGCGAGGCTTTCGGCAAACATTGCCTTTGCCCGGTGGTTTTTCTGGTTCAGCTCCTCTTGGCTTTGACAGGGATGAATCTCATCGGGGTCTGGCAGTTTGCTGTTGCCCTTGCAGACAGCCGTCACGCAACGCTGATGTGTCAGAGTGGAGGAGCGCAGTGCTCAGCCAACACCCCCCTCCATTTCCACCCAGTCCCCCCTCTATCCCGAGCCAAAATGCATTTGTGCTTCTCCACAAGGACGGTTATTTCTTCTTGCTTCAGAGCACAGAAAGCCTTGCAGAGCAGCCCACAGCTCCCGGCACCCTGGGGCTGGCTATAAAACACATAATACAGGATTCAGGTGTTCAGATGAAATGTTGCTCTCTTTATTTGTACTTTAAAAAAGAACGATCAGGGTAACGACAGCCCTACAGCTCTCGCTCAAGCTTGGCACAAGTTTACAAACTCTCGGTGCTCCAAGGAGAGAGAAGTTCGGAGCTCAGTGCCTGCTGCCGTTGTCCTTAACAGCCCAGCGCTTCCCTGAGTCAGCTGGTTTGTAACCTCAGAGCTGGATTTGGCCTTGACTCACGTAACACCACTGACCAGCACTTGAGAGCACTCGTGGAATAGAGAGGAAACAGCAACGCTCGATAAACGTAACGTCTACACGTAAACCCAGCCTGTCACTTGGCAGCCACAAGCTGCGTTTGTTCTTGCAGTTTTGGGGGATGCACTAAATGAGTTTTAACGAGTTACAGCACCAGCAGTTAAAGAAATTGGCTCCGAACCACACGGCTTGCATTGGCTGCAGGGTTTGTTTCTTTAGCAGGTGATTTCGAGAGGGAGATTGAAGACGGGCTCCGAGTTAGCTTCCTCGCCCACGCTGGCTACCGTCTGTAGGATGGATGGAGCCGTTACATCCTATATACACCCCGTGCCAACGCAGGGTGACAGACCAGCATTTCACAGCACAGCCCGCGCCACCGCCTCTGCTGCTGCGGCTGCTCGAAGGGAGGAAAACGGGCAGCAAAGTCACTCCACGTTTCCCCGGAGAAACACGGGGCTGGGGTGAGCAGAGCCACC